TCTGTGTCAGCCTGAATGATCAGCTGTTCTGTACCTCGTGATGGGACCTAGTTTTTAGCCATTGTATTTGAATCAATGCAAAAATAAAACCAGTGATTGATTTGAGCCTATTGACTCAGATTCTGAATTTTAATAAATTAGCTAAACTGTCGGGAACACAATATTATGGGATAATAAACATCAAACAAAAAAAAAAGAAGAGTTTGGTGGAGGGGTATGTATCGGCCGAAAACTAGGTCTCATCGCGATGGACAGAGCAGCTGATCAGGCATGACACAAACTTGAAAATAGCGCATGCTCAAAATATGTTCAATAAGGATGATTATGCATAATTCATGAGATTTTGCTAAATTATCCTACGAAAACGCGGATTTTTATTTTTATTTTATTTTATTGTTATAGCTCTAACAGCTGCACTACAGTAGTACAGCTGACTTGAAGAGGCCCTCTAAAGATAAACAATACATAAAAATATATACAATACATTAAAAATCCAAGTAAGTAAAAGCTTCATTGCAGTAAAGTTCAAAAACTATATAATAAATAAAATATTGAATAAATATTGTAACATTCATTAAAAATACAATAAACTTTAAAATTCATTATAAAATTACAAGGTGATGGTTAAAATCAGAATTTTATTTAGGTTTAGGGATAAAAAAAGAGGCCTACAGTTGTCGAACGAGTACGCATACCCTCGCGAGTAATGGGTTTCAAAAGGCGATTGAGGTAATCAGGTGCAGAACCAGTGGCTGCTTTAAAAGCTAGGCAGACAAGTTGAAGAGCAATTCTGCTAGAAACATTCAATAAATTTAGAGTTGAAAGGAGAACAGAAGAACGGGTACGAGGGTGGCAGTTAAGAATTATGCGCAAAGCACGGTTCTGTAAAGAGTAGTCGATATGCGGAAGTACAATAGTATTATATAACAAAAGTTTGGTTTTGGTGTCAATAATTTTGTGAATGCGCCCTAATAAAGAGAGTGAATAGCCAAGTTTACTTCGTAGGTGTCTAATA